TCTTGTTGAGTTCTCTAACGATCCTTTGCTTGCTAAAGGCTATTCTAAGCTCGTCTGTACGAGTAACGAACCGCTCTGCCTAGCATTTGCCTAAAGGCTCGCCATCTCGTTCGCGTAGTAGTTTCTCCGCCATATCTGCTACTTCATATAGACGGGGGGCAAATCCTCGCGAGTCTAGGTTAAGAATATATCGTACGATAGTTTGCTCTTTAGACTTAGTTAGCTTCTAGCAATTTAGCTGTGTTGTAGGTCAAAAGGTGATTCCTTAAAGCCGCCAAGATATCTGCTGATGATGGACGTTGTAGGCTGCTGTAGCGCGTTGAATGCTCTTAAACTGGCCTGTACGATAGGCCTGAACAGCTAGAGTAAGCCTACCTTCTTGCTAAGTTAATATCGCGTTCTGTTGTTGGGGCATTATCTTTCGTACGTGAAGTTCGTGATGCCAAGAAAAAGTGGCACACTCGGTGATGTGGCCCGCTCGGTGATGGAATACGTTAGTTGCTTCTATAGTATATAATATCACTATTTTTAAAGTCTGTTTGTAAGGTGTAGATAAAAAGTTCTTAAGTAGTAACTTAGTATTTATACATTATCCACTTACTATATTTTTACTTTTCAGTAACTATTTCTTTGATTATTTTAGCTCTTTATTAATACTATGCTATTTTTTACTTGTAATATTTAATAACTTAGTTATTTAATAGCTTTATCTGACTACTACTTCCTCATTATTCCTAAAATACTATAGCCCATTTATAAGCTTTTTATTACGTAGTAGGCTATTTATGAACTTTTAATTATAATATACAGTCTTGTTATTTTAAAGATAAATAATTACCTTTTGTTATACAGTTACTAAGTTTTAATAAGTAAGCTTTCTATTTACTATTATAACTATAAATAATTTACTTTCAATAAACTATAGTTTGAATATCTCAAGTTTTGTCTACATACATATTTATATAAGTCATTTTAGCTATGTAACTTTAGAGTTTTTATATAAAATTCATGATTCTATATCAACTTTTTTTGTTTGAAGTTTCTTCTTTGTATATAACTTTTCAGAGTGTTTTTACTAGCAGCTAACTAACATAATTTCAAAGTTTTATCATTTATAGCTGAGCTAGTTTTCTTTCTATGTTTTATTTTTTTAAGCTTTATTAATAAAATATTTTTAGCTTTTATTTCAGTATTAACGTGGTTCACAAGTGAGTTGCTAACCCAAGCGAGTTGCTAACGCCCCACTACTACATCTACATCAACACGTTATCACAGTTTTTTATCACAGTCAATAAACTATTGCGAGAAACTAAATTAATTATTAGAATTGCTACTATTCCTTACACTATCTATCTCAACTACGTATGTACGAGCGTTGTGTCCAGTCTGCTTGCAACGCCCGCACCGCCGCTCTCCTCGCACCCTCTTCGACGCACTCTCACCATCACCACGACTGCTACCCGCCTGTTCAGCTAATACTTCTTGTACTTCGCCCATAGTAAGAGTCTCTTCTGTCCGTACGTATCGCCGCTTGCGGCTTTTACGCTCATTTAACTCGTCAAGAGCCGCTCAAAGCGTACCCATTTCCTCCATCATAAGCGTCATTTTATGTGCCATTTGCTAGGTCCCCTTACTTAGCTACGCGATCTACTTAGTAAGTAAATTGGCAGAAGACCCACGGCGTTTTCTCACGCTCTCTTGAATGAGACTAATTTGAGACTCAACTTCGCGCGCGTTGCGTGGTGTCTGCGCCTGCCAGGCAGCTACCCGTCGTGGTGATTGACGAGGTGTCTGCACCACTACATCAAGCTTAGATAGCACAGCCTGTGGGTCGTGTGGGACTAGACCAGCACCTCTAAAGCTAGCTTGGATATTCTCCTTCGTGATAGACTGCTTAAAAGCAGCCTTAAAGGCTAGTAGGAAGGTTTCCTTGCTAATATAGTGGGTGCGGTTGCGTGCCAAGCCTGAAACAGCGTCGCCATACTTGCGCTTTAATGGCGAGAAGCAGGCGATGTTAAGGGGCTGCAACAGGTGAGACGAGTGTGGAGGCATGCAGAGAAGAATAATATTCTTCTCCTTGCAAAGATCTTGAAAATCGATAGAGCAGTGGCTCTCATGGCCGTCGATAATGAGCAGTTAATACCTACCTATAGTAGAGCTCTTTGTATAGGTATTAAAGTGCTCTAACTAGGCAAGACTAAGCTAATTATTCGTCTAGCTATTAGGACTGACTTCAAGAACCTAGTTAGCAGGGAAATCCTTAAACTAGACGTTGATAAGCACCTTGCTCGCAAAGACAACGAAGGGTGGTATTCGGCGACCTAACGCGCCCACGCCTTGGATCATAGCAACCCACTCACGGTTGCCTGGCTGTACCTGTTTCTTTTTCCTATATCCCTCTAAGCCTGTGATAACTAACTGTGATAAAATCTTGCCTATTATAAAGCTAGTCTCGTCAAAGTTGTAGATATTGTCGTCCACAATACCCCACTTCTGCCTTGTCGCCTGGACTAAGTCGAACCAGCGCTGGATAGCCACTGGATCCTCGCAGGCGGCTCGCTGGTGATTATAGGGACGGCTCCAGCGCGTACGGAGCTCAGGAGTCCGCTTAACGAAGTTGTCAACCTAGTTCTTGCTAACAGGGTTGCCACCACGCTCCTCCAATAGTTTATTAGCTATCACTTGAACGTTAAGCTTTGTAGGCGCAAATCCTCGCGCAGACTCTTCAAGAATACGCTTAACTATAGCCTCCTCTTCTAGCTTATCTAGACGCTTTAATTTCGGCTCGCAGTCGCGTTAAGGGCGCTTTCTAGCGCGTCGATTAGATACAGTTCTTTGTGGGACGTTGTAGATAGTAGCAGCACGGTTTATACACTAAACACGTTGCGACTAGACGTTAAAAAGAGCAAGTTAAAGATTAGATTTAGAATATATCAATAGACGGTTGCGTTGTTGAGAAATCACGCGTTATAGTGATGAAGTTGATGGGCTGGTGGGGCGTTAGCGACTCGCTTGGGTTAGCGACTCACTTGTGAACCACGTTATTTCTTCTTTATATCTGTATATATATATCTATATCTAGCTAAATATTGAGTGAAATACAAGTCTATAACGCTAAACTAGTATAACTAAGCTTTATAAATAACCCCTCTACTAATAATTACCTACTTTACTAGGTCAGATATATTAGCACAAAAATTAGTATCTTTCTTATCCTATTTTTAGACTATCACCTCTCTATTTAGTAGATCTAGAAACTAGTATAAACCTCTATATATCACTCTTATTAAGTAATTAATAAGAAATTTCTGTTTAAAATATTATTAGCTATAACTACTTATATATTTCATAATATAATATATACTAGTAACTAGTGTATCTCTAATATATTATAGTATATTAGTTATATGTTTTAGGGTCTTACTTTAGCTAATGTTATTTTGATTCTTATGTCATAGCCTATTATTAATAAACTTATTTCTCACTATATAAAATCACTTATTTTGCTATAATATTATATCATATACTAATACTTATGCTATAACACCTAGTAGTTCAGTATATCTTTTTATATTTTAGTGCCTACACGCGAAATAATAGCTCTATTAGCTATATTCTATTATTATGTAAATAAATAATAAGTCTTCCTTCTACTTTACTGGTCTTTATACGTATGTCTATTGAGGAAGATTTCCTTAGAGTGGATAAATCGCAAAGTTAAGTGCTCTTGTAGTATCTTTAACTGCAATGCTCCTCTTTTTAGTTTCCTCCTTATATTCTCTTTCATCTTTTCTTCCTTTATCCTCATTTTCACCTTACTATATAGAGTTCTTATATAATACATTTACTTAAACGCTAGAACTCTACGAGTAGTGAACTACTATATATATTGAATCATATGAATAGTCTATACTATGCGTACTTAATCATGATTTTTGGAAAGGATTTCGTGTTTCATCTTACATCTAGTTGTCTGAATCCTTATAGAATCTAACACCTAATAGGTTGAAAGGGAAAGTTACTTGAAGGGATGTTGCAGAACAGTCTTGCCAAAGCCTCTCTTTCCATCTACTACTGCAAACAATACCTCTAACGCCTCTTCCGCTGTTACTTGAAGAACATTGACTGATGGAAGAGAGAACTCTTTACCATAATTTTCAACAATCCAATGAAGTGCTTTCCACGCGTTCCAATGCTCCGCAGCTCTCGCAGGAATAGTAATAGGCGCAGGTGTACCCGGTGGACGTATGATAAACTCAGTGTTGGACGTCGCCATGGGTAACCGGAACCTCTTGTCCTGACGCAATACTACAGATACAAGCATTGCAGATGGGCTGACGCACTGAATCAGCAGGTCTGATGAGGATGGGTTGCTCATTGTGCCAGCGGCATCGAGGGCATGGGTGATGGAGCCTCTGCCTAGCGCTGACACGGCGGATGCGATGTCGTTTGTCACAGTCGGAGAGGAGTAATCAAAAGTTTCGGTTGCGCCAAGAGTTCTGAGAAGCTCATGTCGTGTTGGAGAAGCTGTTACGAAGATATTCTTGCAGCCGGCGGCTCGCGCCAGCTGTACAGCTGAGAGGCCAACTGCCGAAGACGCGCCCCATATCAGTATTGGGCTGGATATGTCTGTGGGATTTGTCGGCAAGGGGAACTTGAACAAGTTGTGTATTACATCAGCAGCAGTCATTGCTACTACCGTGAGTGCCGCTGCGTGTGGTTCTGGGAGATTCGAAGGGACTTTGAAAACCATGTCTTCCGGGACTGCCAGATGGCCCTGGTGAGTGCCGTATTTCTTCGGTCGTCCCACGCCAGAGGGTGTATAGCCTGCGACTATATCGCCTTGTTGGAACTCCGACGAAGGTGGGGCCTTGGTGACGCGACCAGAAAAATCGTTACCAAGTACAGTTGAGCAGATACCGAGATGGGTCGAGTGCCGAATATCTGCTGGGTTTACTCCTGAGTAGTGAACCTCGATCAAAAGCTCATTTGGCGCGGCATCTTCATGAGCGATCTTGTCTTCGACTATGAATTTTGCATCTTCAGTCACAAAGAGTGCTTTGTCGATGGCAGACGACATCCTGGACTTTCTACAGGAATAAGCAACAGTTCAAGCTCTGTCTTCTGCATTTCTATACAGCAATGCTCAGACAAGATAAGCAACAGATAACAAACTTACTTTGAGTACTTTAATGGTGTAATAGCAGTGCAAAAGATCTACAAACACAGTGATTGAGTGACGAGATATCAAACAAGAGATGTCAAGAGAGAGGCCTGCTATATATAGGATATATGCGTTAGAGTCCAGTGTGTCTTATGTTGAGATAATTTACGTCCAAGTGCGTCCGGGAATCAATCGCGGCAATTTCGTAATCCGGTGAAATTGCTAAGCTGACTATAGTTGGTCATGTGATTAGACAGGGGTATCTACTACTCTTCCTATCTACTTTTGTTATAGCGCTCTACTGATCTACTCTACATTTCCAATATTCTTTCACTTTATCTCCCTTTCACATATAAATGCTTTATTTATCTCAAACCTACTTAGTCTTTTATATTTATTATCTCTTCTAAGTAATAGTCTAGTGTTTATTTTTAAAATTGTATCGGGTGATACTTCATCATTATTATCTTAATAAATTCACTCTGTATTATTTCTTTCATAACATTGAGTATTATCTATATTTCCACTTTATAAGCTGAACTTATAGGTTATAGGCTATAAGAATTAAGAAGAGAATATATTAACCTACTACCTTCAAATAATTTATATAAATTAAAGAAACGATAACAGTAAACGCATAGAAGAAAGTAGAGGAACAGTGAAATTAGAGTAAGCAACAAGATAGCGCCGTGTCTGCTGACCGGTTGTGATATTCAGCTATGTCTAATTCCTAGCTGGGTTTGCAGGGATGGCACACGCAATATGATGCAAGTAACGGTCAAATGGCTAGCCACTCGGATTCGGTCATGACTAGAACAACCGAGTCTCTCTGTAGAATCCCGGTTATCCCCGCCACAGCCAGCTAACAAGGTGCGCTTCCCCGCCGCGATTTAGTCTCCTTCGGCATCTCGACACGGTATCTCGACACGGTCAAAGCAAGCACTCGTTTGCATGCTAGTGACAGCACGCAGCCATAAATATACATGTACATCGATCACGTTGACCAGCCGCGTCCAACCATCTGAAGGGATATTTCTCTCTGCATCCTGCGTTACTATACTCAAGACCGATTCATTTTTCCGCATCTTGGTTACAGCCCGCACATCTTGACCGTGGCGGCGCAAACAAAGTCAGCAACATGGCACCTTACAAAGTCGGATCTGTGGTGGTCAAGATGTGCGACAGCAACAGGCCACAGGCGCCGCCTGCAATGCCGAAAACCGTTCAGCTGCCGGCTGGACACCAGAAGAGTCCAGAATGCCGAGCTCTGCCTTGCCCTATGATATTCGACCAAGATCAGGTTTTCACGCTGCGCGATGGCACCAAGATACGGGCAGACATCTTTCGACCCCAGGTGGACGAAACAGTGCCTGCCATTGTCATGTGGTCCCCGTATGGCAAGACTGGCGCGGGCGTCCTGAACATCAGTGCCATGCCTCTGAGGGCTGGGATACCTGCCGATTCCTTGTCTGGCTATGAGGACTTTGAAGGGTTGGTTGGCCGCAATAAGCACAAAGAAGAAGACACCATGACTCTGGCTCTCGGCTAACTAGGCGAACAGGCTCGACCCGGCGGAATGGGTGCCCAAGGGATATGCCATAGTCAACGTGGATGCAAGAGGCGTTGGCGACTCTGAAGGAGATATACGCTGGTGGGGTACGAGCGAAGGCCGAGACGGCTACGACGCCATTGAGGAGCTTGCGAAGCTACCCTGGAGCAACGGGAAGATTGCCCTGGCGGGCAATTCGTGGCTTGCCATCTCGCAATACTTTATCGCGGCCGAACAGCCGCCTCACCTTGCCGCCATTGCGCCCCTAGAGGGATGCTCGGACATGTCGCGGGAAGACGTTTATCGCGGAGGGATCCCCCGGGTGGTATTCGCAAAGTGGATTGCAAGTCTTTTACCAGGTATGGACTGTGTCGCCGACACGTTGTCGCGCCCCATTCGACTGACATGATGGTAGGTCGGCAGCAGCAAGAGGACGTGGGTGCCATGGTGCAGGAGTTCACCACTACCAATGACTACATGGAGGACAAGCGCGCAGATTTCTCCAAAATCAAAGTTCCTGTCTATATCGGAGCCAGCTATTCGTCCGACCTGCACACGGTTGGTTCTTTGCGGGCGTTTGAAGAAATCAGCCATGGCGAGAAATGGTATGTTGACTAGGATGAAGACGACAAGAGAAACGACGGGAGAACAGGCATGCTAATGTTGATGTGTTCAGGCTTGTGCTGCACTCGACACAGGAATGGTATGACTTGTACTCGCAGCAACGAACCAAAGACCTTGAAAAGTTTTTTGATTGCTATCTCAAACATGTCGAGAATGACTGGCACCAGACGCCGCCAGTGCGTCTAGCGCTGCTCCAGTTCAACAAGGCCCCGATCGTGGACAAGGCCTTCAGTGATCTTCCGTGGCACCTAGACTCTTGCGTTTCAAGACGCTTGTACTTGACACCCGACAAGACACTGTCGGATCACAAGCTGGCGGCATCCATGGCAACACTCGACTATGACGCGTCGACCGACGACACAATCACTTTTACGTATCGCGTCCCGTCCAGGATGGCATTGGTTGGACCGAGTACTTTGGCGATTGATGTCTCGTCGCCCGACCACGATGATCTGGACGTATACACGCACATATTCAAGGCGGATGCGGGCGGAGCCATTCTCTCCAACAAGAACATACCGACGCCCGAGAGTCTGTCGGCCGAGGAAGAGCACAAGCTTACACAGAACCGACTCTTCCGATACTGGGGCCCGGACGGAGCGTTGCGGGCCTCACAGCGGCACGTCTCTGCTAGTAAGTCGGGCAAGACATGGAAGACGCTTTCGCATCAAGAGGTGTTGAAAGTTGCGCCTGGTGAGATTGTCAGGCTGGAGAACCAGCTCTGGCCGACCGGCATCGTGTTTGAGGCCGGCGAGTTGTTGATGGTAAAGATCAGTGGAGCAAGCATTGGCGTTCCGGCACTCGCACACCTGCAGCGGGAGCCGAACCCGAATCGCGGGAAGCATATCCTACACGTCGGAAGAGCAGAGAGCTATCTCGACTTCTTTACCATTGACGTATGAAGCAGGGGGCAAATTTCAGATAGAGAAATACATCAGCGCATCGTGTGTGCACGAGTAGTAGGGTGAGCTCCAGCCAAGGTGGGACACCACGCTATTGGCCAGCGTATAGATTACAGAAGCTACACCTTGTGAGGAGATTAGTTACACACGAGGCTTTTTTAAAAGCTTTCTACTCGCTGTATTTTGAAGAAGCTATCCTGTCGGGTACTAGCGTATACTATCAGCCAATCTCATCTGCCACTACCTTTGGCGCTAGACAGGCGTTCCATCTTGGCTGGAGCTCACTGGTTACATAGCGGAGGACGGCAGTGATGATTGACCAATCACAGCTCGTGGAAGGCCATGCGTCGCTATCCAGGTCAGGCTTAGCGCTCGTGCCAAGCCTACTACGTCATGGACTTTGCCATGGCCCCAAATGGTCGCGTCAACCAACGACGAGCGCATCGTCGGTCTTTTGGGTGCAATCGCGCCATCACAATCACCTTTCGAAACGCATCCCAAACTCACCGCACGCCGCTGATTCCACGCGCAGTGCACACGGCCATGAAGCGAGGTGCAATCGAATCCTTCTTCAAGCGGCCCGAGCCCAAGAAGGCCAAGTATGAGGCCAACGGCGACAAGAGCACCCATTCGACCTATCCCTTTGCCATTCCACATCTACCGCGGCGGTTTTCAGAGCAGCTGGGGTTTGCGCCGGCCGAGGAAGGGAAACCCATGGACGATCAGCTGCATCTGGATGTCGTTTACTACCAACCCTACATTCCGCGTGCAACGGCAGCTGCCATGTTTGAGTTTCTGCGCCAAGAGCTTCCTTTCTACCGCGTCGTGTATAGCATCAGGCGCGGAGGAGTGCAGACAGCCATCAGCACGCCGCGCTTCACCAGCGTGTTCGGCGTCGACGATACCTGTCGGTTTGCGTCTGATGGAAAGCTGGTCGACGCGAAGACGGGCAGGCCGGCCGAGACGAGGCGCTACACGTGCGCACCTCGTCCCATTCCGCAGTGCCTCGAAGAGCTGAGACTGGTGACGGAGGGAACCACTGGGGAAACGTTCAACATGTGCCTGGTCAACTACTACGCCGACGGCAGAGACAGCATCTCGTTCCATTCCGACGACGAGCGCTTTTTGGGCCCCACGCCGGCCATTGCATCTTATAGCTTGGGTGCAAAGCGCGACTTTCTGATGAAGCACAAGCCGAGAGCCGCGAAAGACGGCGACGCGGCCGAGGAGCCAAAGGGGGTGAAGCTGGCGCTGGGGTCGGGGGACATGGTTCTCATGCGCGGCCCGACGCAGGCGAACTGGCTGCACAGCATACCGAAGCGGGCCGGACCCGAGGCGGGCAAGGGGAGAATCAACATTACCTTTAGGAAAGCCATGGTCAGGGGCGGGACGGAGAATTACTACCAGTACAATGTGGGAAGCGGACAGGTGCATAGGTGGGATGCGCGGGCGCAGCAAATGGCGGCCTGGACGCCGCGCAATGATTCAAATGGCGAGTAACGTGTACGTGTATGTCTGGTGGTGGGAGCCGGACGAGGGGGGCAGGTGGGAAGGCTGCCGCATTGCATGGATGGATGGATAGATGGACAGGTAGAAGCGTGTGGCGACGGCGACGGCTTGGCGGGCCATGGATGGATGAGCGTCGTTGTCGGCCGAGTCAAAGGCCGCCGCCCAATTCTCCCCAGGGCCATCACCCACCCACTACCACCACCCCCCCTCCCCCCTCATCGCCCTGCCAACCGTGCGTGATTCGAGTCGCCCAAACGCGGCGCATAGTTGCACTCGTGTTGCCCGAGCGCGTGCAAAGGCGACGGCGCGCTGTCGTGAGAGCGGTTGGGCCTGCGTGCAGCGAGCTTGAGCAGCTGGGAAAAGGTATGTACCAAGCCGTGCAGCGCAGCGCAACGCCTTGCCGCTATAACGCCTGGGCATATACAGCTGCTGATACCACACAGGGCATGCCAGTGTCGGCCTGGGACGCATTGCCAGCTTGCGGTAGCTGGAGCTCCTGCGAGCCTGCGCCGACTGGCCATCTGTGAGCATACCCTCTCGAAACTGACGGGTCGACTTGTGCGCGGAGAAAAAAGAGAAGAAAAAAGAGACGAACAGCCTGGAGAGAGCAAAAAGCAAGCAACAGACGAATCAAAACGAAAGAGTGCGCGGCGAGGGACGCGCAGGCCTTGGTCACGGAGGAGGGCGATAGCAGGACATCGCCGCCATTTGGATCGCGGGCGGCAGCGTCACATGCCCTGGCGCGTCGAGATAGGGCCAGCCCGGAAAGATTGAAGAAGACGAGCACGAGCGCATCACCGTCGACGTGGGCTGCTCTCGAGGCGATTCTTGACAGTCCGCTTCGACTCGCCCACGCCCGCCGTTTAGGCAACCCGCGAGCGCGTGAGATTTCAACATCTCTCCCGCCCATCCGGCGTTAAGCGCGCCCTTAACTCCGCCGCCGCCTCGTGGTCCGCCACTACCGTCACTGCTTCGACCATCACCACCACCACCACCACCACCATCACTATCCACTCCACCAACTCCACCGCCCACAATGCCGCCCACCCCGCCCTCGACAAACTCCTCCAGCGCAGGCCACTCGCCGCCCGACCCCCAGTTCCGAGTGGTGCGCAAACGGAATCGCGTGCCTCTGTCGTGCGGAGCCTGTAGACATCGAAAGTAGGCATGCCCACCCACTCTCCCTCACTCCCTCTCTCCCATGCCCCTCGCCCAAAGCACACCGCTGATGCTCGCAGGCTAAAGTGCAACCGCGGCCACCCCTGCGACAACTGCACCAAGCGCGGAGACACGGCATCATGTACGTATGCTACTCCAGGCAACCGCAAGAAGAGCTCCTCGAGCGCCGGCTCTGCATCCACCCCAGATGACATGCAAAACCGCATTGACCGCCTCGAAGGACTCGTTCTGTCGTTGATGACCAATGGCGCCCAAAGCGCCGGCCCTGCTGCTGCCCAGGCGGCCATTGCAAGCAGCCTGGCCACCGGTCCCTCGGATGCCCACTTCAACATGGCCCACCTGACCACGGCCATGAGCACCGGCGCCCCGGACTCGATCCCCGAGGAAGACGTCGCCGACGAAAGCGACATGGAGAACGTCACAAAGTCGATTGGCGTCATGAAGGTCCACAACAACCACACCATCTTTGCTTCCGAGGCCCACTGGTACGCCATCCTGGGCGAGCTCTCCGAAGTCAAGAATTACTTTGCAGAACACAAAAAGCAGTACGACGATCAGCTGCGCCGCTACAAGGAAGCACAGGTCGGCGACCGCCCCCCCGGCACCTCGATCCTCATGGGCGCCCACAAGCCAAGCTCCAAAGCTGAAATCCTGTCGCGCTTCCCCCCCAAACCAACAGCCGACCTGCTCGTCTCGCGCTTCTTCAACACCTATGACCCCGGCATCCACATCATACACGGGCCGTCCTTCCAGAAGGAATACGATCGCCATTGGCTGCAACCAGAAGAGACGCCCGTCATCTGGCTTGGCCTGGTATTCGCCATGATGTGCATTGCACTGCAGTCCTATACTCGGGCTGGCGACGAGCCCCCAGAGTATCACAACAAGTCTTGGGACATGTCGAGAGAGTACGGCGACCTCACTGCGCAGTGTCTGACGCTGGCAGACATCACCTCGCCCATCACCGGCATGATAGAGACGCTCATCTTACACGTGCACGCCGAGTACGCGCGTAGCAGAGACGCCGAAGTCGGCATATTCATCAGTACCGGCATCATTGTACGCTTGGCCATGCGAATGGGTTTCCATCGGGACCCCGGCCCATATCCCGGCATACCCGTCTTTCAGGCAGAAATGCGAAGACGAGTATGGGCCGTCGTGCGCTCACTAGATCTATTGTTTTCGGCCCAGGCAGGCCTCCCGCCCATTGTCCGCCCGCGCGACACCAACACGGAGATTCCCCGCAATCTCTACGATGACGAACTCCACGAGGATATGAAGCTTCTGCCGCCATCGAGACCCGAGACCGAGGCGACTCCCACTCTTTTCTTGATCAACCGAACCCGTCTCATCTACAAGCTGGGAGAGGCTGTCGAGTGCACAGACACTCTGACCTGCTCATCGTACGACGAGGTGATGAAGCTGGACATGGAGGCTCGAGAACTGCACGACAACATTTCTCCTCATCTGAAGATGCGAGGAATGGATGAATCGGCACGGGACCCATCAACCTTGATCATGCAACGATTTACCCTGGACCTGCTCTTTCTGAAGATCATCTGCGTGTTGCACCGCAAGTACCTGGCCTATGCCAGAGTACAGTCGCGCTTTGCTTATTCGAGAAAGGCCGTCATTGAGGCGTCGCTGATGCTTCTCAAGCACCAAGCGACTTTGCACAGGGAGTGCCAAGCCGGCGGCCGCTTGAGGAACGTCAAGTGGTTCATTTCGTCACTGACAACCGTCGACTTCCTTCTTGCTGCAATGATTGTGTCCTCGGATCTCTATCACACTACCGTTGAATCTTTAACTCGCTCTCCACCCCCGGCAGAAACGCCGGCTTGGAGCTCGGATCGCGTTGACGAGATGCTGGAAGCGATTGAGATAGCAGTGGGCATTTGGGAGGGTCTTCGCGACCACTCCATGGAGGCATACAAAGCCCACACGACTCTCGGCGTCATGTTGGAGCAACTCAAAAAACATCGCGGGGCTAAGCAGGCGCCAAGCGGATTCCAAGCAGCTTCGTCGGCATATCCCGCCATGGCACAGATGGAGGATGCCAACGTTGCACCAGAGCACTCGGCAGCCATGACTTTGGGCTTGCTCAGCACAGGTGGCATGACGCCTAACGCAAATATGTTCGATCAGCGATACCCGGCAGGCATGGCGAATCTCTTGAACGATCCAGTATCTCAACCATCAACAGGCTTAACACCGCAGTACAGCCAGGCCACTAGTGGTGCTGCAGGCACTGAGAACGCACCGAGTCCTTTTTCCAATCTGTTTGGAGCAAACTTGTTTCAAAACTTGGATCTGCCACCAACTGACAATATCAACTGGGTATGCTCAGTCAAGAATGCTCCAAACGTGCCAAGTGCTAATGCAGACAGGACGCATGGGACTCGTATATCCAAGGTCCCGGCATCGAAGCAACAAACAACTTCTTTCCCATGGACCTTGGCAGCATACCGATGCAGACAGAGCAGAACGGGCTGCCGCAAACGGGACCGGTAGTCCATCAGCCTTCAGCTCCGACAGGTCACACGAGCATGTTTGGGCAAGATGTCTACATGGGTGTAAGCGCTTACGAGGCAACTTTGGCATGGACCCGGATAGCTGACACTACCCAGGCTGATGCGAAGACGGCTGGCGAAGGGTACGTCAGTGGCTTCAGGATGCCAAAACCGTCCAATTAGCGGCTAGCGACCGCCGCACAACGCTTTTATACGCCTCGATGATGGGTGGCTGTGTCTGCTTAGCTTGCCTGCTTCAGCCCTGGGGGCCGGATCATGATTATACTAGACATCTTGGGACGGTTAGTCCACCAGGAGGATTTGCAAGCGGATTGGGCGAGGCGCAGCTGATGCCCCGCCTTTGCAGCTTCAATCAACTCAGCTCAGCCCATGCGCGTTTCTCTAACATGATTGAATGCCTCCGTTGTATCACAATTGCAGGGGACACAGTGTCATAATACTAAGCCTCTGCCCCCCCCCCTGAGGCTTGTCCCGCTTGCGCGAGGGTCAGACGTCATCGCACCACGTTGGCTACGTGCCTCTCTCCCCCCTACAGCTGTGTGTGGACACATTACTGCTTGCCGAGGCTCACCACAATTTGGAACCTGACAGTCAACTAACTCTCAAGCTGCACCGCTTCGAAAATTCACTATTGCTGTCCTCTCCATGTCGCCTGCAGTCCCTACCCACACACCACGCATCGACACGACCACACCCGCTATCAACGAGGCACCGGTCGAGTTGGACGCCAGCACCCCCGTGTCACCAGAGCAGGCGATGAAGAGAAGAGATATGCTAGGCCATGGGGAGCAAAGCCGCGCCTATATAACAGGCTCCATCACGTCCCCAGACGACGCACAAGGTGTCGACGCCGAGTTTCTTGGCCGAGGCGAGAACATGAGTAGGGAGGCTAGAGAGGTACGTTAGCCCGGCTTGCTTCTTCTATCGCCAGGAGAAAAGAGATTGTCCATTTGACACCAGACGCAGAAGCGTGCGGCCATGCTGGCAGAGCGATTGAAAGATCCAAGTGTCATCGTTGAAGTACCCAAGGGACCGACCGCCGACGAGGTTGAGGCTGTGAGAAAAGTGGATCAGGGGGCAGAGGTTGGAGTTTAGAGGCGTGTGGGCGTGCAAAGATGGTGCTGCAGGAGGATATACTACAGCCATTTTGTGATTTGCTGATGCTGATTTTGCATCATGCAAGACTTGCCCTTTGTATTCTTTTTCTTCTTCTTTTTCTTGTTTTGCATCTGCCCGATTATCGAAAAATTGACTGGGAGATGACTTGGTTGTGCACTAAGCAGAACACGTGATTAGATCGAATCGCCCGGCGATCAAAGGCCAAGACTCGTATCGATTCTGATTTGACGGCCTTTTCGTAGTCGTAACAACTTGCCCGTCTACACCCGCTACTTAGTATGCAGCAGGCCGTCTTTCTAGAACTGCCACTTTTTTCTTTCGTTGTAAAGAAAATAAACCAGCCCTCCGCCCTGCTTTGACCGGTATATTCGGATCTCAGTATACATCTTGGACAAAAGTGAAGGATAAAAATATACATAGAAGTATGCCCGGGATGACGATTACTTGCAACTGCTGCCACCGTAAATGAACTTGCCATCAGAGTTCTCACACCCACATGTGCCATCCTTGGGACTCTTGATACACCCCGTGCCGTCTCCCTTGCCCTCGCCCTTGACCCCGGCCTTGTCCCAGAAAAATGTGCTAATATCCTTGTTGTGCTTCATCTGCGTACCCGGCGCGCAGGTATACGCTTCACACGTGCCGTAGGGAAATCCGTGGTTGCCGTCGTACTGGTGATCTTGGGTGAAGACGGCAAAGGTCTGGTCGGCGACACGCGTGTTATGGCTGCATTCTGCGGCCTGAATGGCTTTGCTGGTTTTGGCAGCTGCAGGAAACCACATGTTAGAGAAATGGCAGATTGAGCAGGGGGTTTGCCAGAGACGTACGCGCACAGTTGGGGGCGGCTGGGTATGTGGCGTTGGAGTGCGAAGTCGCTGGGTCTAGGGTAGCTGTGATGCCAGTCACCAGCACGCACAGAGTCACAATGGTCGAAGGCGTAAACATTTTGAAATCCGTTGATGATTCGACAGGAGCAGGTATAGAGTGACTCTTAATAGACACGAAGACGGCCTTTGTCTCATCTTTATATCCCGATCCCTTGTCTCCCCCTATCGCCCATGTTTCACCCACGGGTTCCTGTATTACATACGCTGCCACCACCGCCACTTTTCTCCTCACCCATACATGAACAGGACTGCGCAGGTCCACATGGCCGCGCGCCCATCGCAGGTGTGTGCACGTGTCGGAAATTTGGCTTGTTTCGAAACAGTAAAACGGCGCTAGACAGGGTGCGTCGACGGCCCGACAGATGGTTCAATCTCAGGTAGAGTGCGTCAGCGGGGAAGTATGTACTGTAGACCGTCTGCTGGGTACCGACACCGCGTCCTCGGCGCTCGCTATGTAGCTACATGATTCCAGATGCGGTACACCTCGAGTGTACAGGGTTTGGCGCTGGCCATGCTTTGCTAGCTCCCGTGTCTGATATTGCAGTTGAGTGGGTCATGCTATCGATCACAATCGGCCTGTGATGCTAACGTGAGCTTACATAGGCAAATCACTGGCTGCACTGTTCGCTTCTCCTTCATGTTAGGAGGTACCAGGTGACACAAGTACCATCTGTGGTACGTGTGGTTCTAACACTTGATTAGATTTTGTCGCTTGTCCGTCCACATGTGATGGCTGTACCTGAGCGGCAGCACCCACATGCTAACACGTCTGAATTATGTTGCTCAATTTGATTTCTTCGCAACCCAACCTGTGTCTGCAACGAATGCGTCTCTCGACATATGCCACTGTCTTCGAGCTCCTTGCAAGGAGGCTTTTCGGTCTCTTCTTGGTTACCCCCATAGAAAAAGAGACACGTGGAAATAGTGCTATCGTTCCAGTCCACGAAGGCTGCTGCCTGGACAATCACTAGAGTTGAGAAAGCGAGTACGTCCAGAAACCCAACGAGTGTTTGGTTCTCGACTTGATACAATCTTTGAGAACAGACGTGTCCTCAGTAAACTCCTGGCTTTTGCTTCACTAGGCTCACCTCATTGAATGACGTTACTCTGGGCCAAGTCACTTGCAGCCTGTGTAGTTCGACTGGTGAAAAGAATAGAGCTTTGGTAACTGTGCATGAGGTAGCCAAACATTTGATCTGTATGAATAGTCTTATCAAGTGCACTACAAAGCATGTCGACATCGTTCACTTTTTCCTGGATGGTCAGCCGATGCCTAGCGCTTTGATAGCTCAATTCTGCCGTGACAAGCTGCTTGACGTCAGCCTCGGTGTCTTCGATGCCCAGTATATATTGCAGCAACTCTATCTCTCAGTTTGCCTACTGGGAGATTTGCTGGATAGAGGCTGATATTACGCGCATGGTAGGCTTAGGTGGTTGCTCTCGTATCTGGTAAGCTGCCTCGAGGGCATGAGCTGTCTTGCCGCAGTCACCGAGGCCGTACACAGCAAACTTACCACCTTGTAAAAATCCATTGGGATTAATCTAAGCAAGTGGCGTCTCGTGGCAGATGAAAGAAAATTGAGCCTTAGTAACGGAACATGACATGATGCTGTCCCGTGTTAGCTCGGTGTGCTTACCCAGATATCGCCACTAACAAGGATCTCATTCATGCGGTAATAATTCCATATCATGCCATAAATTTGCCTTCTGCTGCCATTAGAATACACTTTGAATGTTTTGACTACGGCTAGCGTAATTCTTCAAAGCAGCTGTTGCGTCAAGGCAGCCGAGTTGCCATCAGCGCACCATCTCCATCTAACGTTCTTATGTAATTCAGCGTGGTCGGCGATGCCACGAATAATCGAGTATCGCCTATGAACGTCTAGACCTGCTGCTAAATCTCGGGTTAGGAAACCTCGGAGCACCGTGTCTTAAGGTCATCTCGTAGATTGCCAACTTTGATCACTGCGTCGTCGGTTGCGATGCATCCTTGATGGAACAGGAGCGCCCATTACCAATCCCAGCTGTACTGTGGAATTTGGATCACCTCGCTCGGGTTCCATTTGGTGCATGTGGACCTGTATGCGCCGACCTGACGGTATCCAGCCATAAAGAGCCTCTCTTGTTCGTTTCCAGGGCGTATGAACTTTTACCTTGCTTTAGATCACTGTAATATACCAAATTTATATTTGCAGGTATTGTTACCAACTTGCACTCATCTCATCAGTTATTCATATGGTCTGCGTGACAAATTTGTGACATTGGCGAGGCTGTGTGCGTTCGTATACGTCCGTCTTGAAAGCGGGTATGATAGGCTGTGTCGCAGTACAGTAAGGCGGACGATTGGGTAGTTAGAACAAGCAAAAGAGACTCCGAAGGATCGTTAGCCATCATTGACTCTAGCTTGATAATGTGAATAGGTGCTGATACGGACATTTGGCAGTTGGGGCTACCTGTCGTGCGCGGAAATGACGTTTACGTGATCAGGTCACGTGCAGCCCCGCGTCACAGCCTACATTCCTCCGCGCGTACAAGCCATCAACCCACTTAGCAGCTGCATCAACTGCACATAATCACAATGGCTGAAGAAGCAGCCATTGCAGTCATCTCCTTCGACAAGTTTATCAACGGCAGCGAAGCAGAGAAATGCTCTGTTGCTAAGCAAATCTACGATAGTTTTTCCACTGTCGGGTGGGTGTATCTAAAAGATCACGGTATACCACAAGAGCGAGTTGATGGGATATTCAGGCTTGTGAGTCACTTCCAAGCCTTATATATCTATTCACGCTTATATCTAGCAGGCCAAATCCTTCTTCGATCTCCCTTTGGAGAAGAAATACACCTGGCGCCTCAGCGATGCAGAGATAAATCAAGGCTATACTGGCGATGGCGACGAAGCAAACGGAGGGATAGACCACAAAGAATGTTACGAGCACCGCCGCTTCAGAAATCCTTGCTGTCCCACAGATGACGATCTTCCTGGGTTTGGCAAGACGTTAGACGAATTCTACGGACAATGCTACAACCTTGGCATGAATGTACTGAGGTGTCTTGCAATGGCCATGGATCTCGGAGACGACTTCTTCGACCACATTACCAAGCGAGCGGATCCGCAGCTCCGTCTTTTGCGGTACCCATGTATTGAGAAAAAGATCATTGAACAAGCAGGACATGCACGCATCATTCCACACACCGACTTTGGCCTCTGCACCCTGTTGTTCCAAGACAGCGTCGGCGGCCTCGAAGTCGACCCTTTCCACACAGGCGATTTCAAGGCTGCTGTGCCCGTTCCAGGCACTGTACTCATAAACATTGCCGATCTGCTTCAGCGGCTAACCAATGATCGTTGCCGAAGCACCATGCATCGCGTTGTCAGCCCAAAAGTATCAGGGGACGTGCTTCCAGAGAGGTTCTCGATACCCTTCTTCATTCATCCGGACCCAGAGGTGCTGATCGATCCGATACTGAAGGAGAAGGGTGAGGTGAAGCGATACGAGCCGGTCAACGCGGGAGAATGGCGGATATGGAACACAAGGAAGAATTATCAGACGCTGACTACGTAGATGTTTTTCATTTAACACCGCTGTGATTCTTGTCAAGACGTCTGCACTTGGACTGGCACAGACAGCCGAAGGGCGCATGTTCGACTCTGTGAGACGTATCGGATTGGGTCGCCCTGTCAGTCGCACATGTTGTTGTTTTAGATGTTGAAATAGAGAAGACAGTTGCATGGTTTCAAAAATCATCTGGGAATCATTAGGGTGAGGTTCATTTCGCATCATAATGGATTTGGGTCTACGTGCAGACGAGGCGGGCAGCTATTTGGGCTTCGAACACGCTCTTATGCTCTTATGAGGAACACACGACGTAGTTCACAGCACCCGGACCCGTAGACCGTAGCAAAACTTTCCTTTGTCAATACGGCACACAAATTTTCAATGCGCTACAGGAGCTTATCGAGATGGCTTCCTGGTCGCAGCACGTGGCGGAAGATTGGGCTTACCCGCCGCTTGACTACTTTCCCGTTGCATCGGTAAAGACTATGTGATGCTATAGTGGGAACCACTACTGATTCCGCACGCATAGATTCATGTTTCCAAGGCGCAGCCGGATCCTTTCTTTGACCACATGGCTGCATTGGGCAACGCGTTTCAGGCCCGATCAGGAGGGATGCAAAGGCACGCCCTTGCTCTGCGCGTCTTTGTTTGCGCACGCCAGCCGGCTGGCTGTGGTACCGCTTCCCTGCTGTGATCAATAACACACGGCGAGGCGAGCATGTTTGTGCAGCTTAACCACTGCCATTCCACCGCATCTTTGTATTTCTTCCTCCCAAGTGCCGTTACTTCCACCCACCGAATAGACTTGATATCGAACCATGTCGGCAACAATCCTGCGACGCATTGACGATTGTCCTGAGGGAGGGGTATTTTATATGTGCAATGGCTTTCGTGGCTGCTGCGCCATGGACCCTTGCATGCCGGGTAGCACATGTCCATCGGATAAGGACTTGACACCAGGCCGAGCTTCGGACGGTAGGACAAGTATTCCAGGTGTCCAATCTAGTATGACGACTCCGACCACCACAGCCGCGCCACCGAGCCTGATGATCACAAGCACCAGGGCGGCATCGTCAACAACCCGATGTGCATCGTCGAATATAGACTTTTCTGTCAGCCTTGCAGAGCCTCCATATAAGACAGTGACGGAGCATGAATCGGAAACAACGGCACCAGCGGGCACGGCGCCAGCAAGGACGGACTCTGGCGACTCGGTACCGGTAGCAGCAATTGTCGGCGCAACACTGGGAGGTGTCATACTCTGTGCTCTCTTGATGACCGTCTTCTTGTGCATACGGAAAAGACAGGCCAAAAAGGTTTACAAAGCACCTGCGTATCCTTCACCTCTGGTTGGTAGCGACATGACACGTCAACTTTCGAGTAAGTCGTCACGTTATGCAGTCTGCATTGGAGAATAGGGAGCTGATAGCGTCCAGGTAAATCATCCTCGCAGTTCCAGCAGAAGGTGGCTGCACTATACCGAGCGGATTCAATCGAGCGATATGAGCCTCCGCAGTTGGATAGCGTAGAGATTCGATGCCAGCGGCGGCGTCATGGGTCAATGGACCGGTTTGTCGAGCTTCCAGCTGAGCCATTGCCGTGGCCGGGACATGATGCAGAGAGGTAGTTGTGTTAGATATCTCCACGTGGCGGGGGGGTGGCTAGGTCATAGACATGTACAATATGTAGAAACGCAATACGAGAAAGCGGGGCTGTGAATCACCGCATCACGTGACTGCGCATCTGATCATGCGGACAGGACGCCACGCGCCGTGGAGGGGCTGGGAGAAGAGAGCAAGGATGAAGAGGAAGCCAATGGTCGGTCGCTGGCCGTGTCGATGCGGTGAAGCTGGTGGTGGGCGAGTATGTAAAGTTGGTCGTGGTGGAGTAAAGTTGGTGTTAATTACTTGGGTGGTGGAATGTCGTCGCGCGCCCCGCTGACGTCACGCTTGGGCAGCTGCAAATGACGCGCAAAGACCAAGGCCAAGACCTCAACCTCGACGACCACCTCGACCATCACGACGTGCACAAATTGCAGCCGTTTCCGCTGCGTCCATAAAAAAGAACCCCCCCCCAAAACCTCCATCCTCTTCGTCTGCCATGGCCGCCATGTCTGAAGACGCCGCCCCAGCTGCAGCGCCTCCCTCGATACCCCGCTATTTCCGCAACGACGCTCCGCTGGCACGACGCGATGCTCACAAGCAATTACTAGCGTCTCTGGACCGGTTGATCACCGACTATCCCCCGCATCACATCCCCCCCGGAGGAGGCCTATACTACGGGCCCATCTCGGTCGCCTATCTCTTCTATGCCTTGCACGACATGTACCCGGACCTCAAGCTGGACGGCTACCCATTGAACACATGGTCGGCTGCCTACATCGAGCAGGCCCAAGCACACATGAAGCAATTCCCGCCGCCCTCGACCAAGAAATGCGGCGTCTCAAACGACATCATGTCGCTGCTGGCCCTGTACGCCATCACGGCAAAAGACCCGGACACAGTCAAGGAGCTCTGCGACCATGCCGCCGTCATGCTCGAAGACGGCACCTCGAACGAGTGGCTCTACGGCCGTACCGGCTATCTGTACCTTCTCCGGCTTGTGCGCAAGACCTTCGCCAACAACAAGGACATTACCGAGCTGATCGAGGACACTGCAGACGAGATTATCGAGAACATCATGGACAGCCCCCGCCCTTGGAAATGGCATGGAAAAGCATATGTGGGCGCCGTCCACGGAGCCATTGGCATTATCACGCAAATAGTCCTCACAGATCCTTCATGGGCGCCCAAGCTGGAGGCCGAGCTAGGCGCCCTGCTGAGCTATCAGTACGACAGTGGCAACTTTCCATCGTCTCTGCCACCAGGTCGCGATAAACTGGTACAAGTCTGCCACGGCGCGCCCGGCGTTGTCATCTCGCTGCTCTCCATTCAGAAATACTTCCCTGGACTCCATGACCGGATTGACAGGGTCGTTGCAAAGGCCAGAGATTGCATCTGGGAACGAGGGCTCCTGACGAAAGAACCGTGTCTATGTCACGGAATCACTGGCAACGCTCTTGCCTTGGACGGCAAGCAATTCGAACATTTCATGACGTACACCACTGGCCACGAAATCAAGTCCATGGCAAAGGACGGCATGCTGGAGAAATCAGACGACCCATCCGCCCTGTGGTGCGGGGAAGCTGGCCGCGCATGGGCTTGGGCAGTCGCGGATATGGGGCTGGATAAGCGCCTCCTCGGTTACAACGACATTTGAGCGAGTGACACAGCTGCGCTCAACGCCCATTCAGTCCATCTTACGACCTTTACCATTGTCCAAATCAGAGGCTTCAATGGCTATCGACATGTTTGCCGCACCCCCGCGTCTGCTGATGTACCGTTAGACCAATTGTTCGCTCCCCTCTAGCTGCACCAACGGGCTTTATTAGCGTCATCTTGCGGAAACTCCGATACTGAAACTCACTATTTACGTCCTTGTACAACGTTCCACAACCGTGAAAACCAAATGATCGACACATGGTCAGACCGCTCCTGTATCCACGCGAGTGGTGGACAAGTCGCAGTCACACTAACTCCAGCTAGCATAGCACGGGTGCAGGAAACGCTTCAAATGCAGTATGCTAACGCTGACTGTTGGATGCCTTCATGGTCGTCACCAGCACGCGGCTTCTCGTTACCTCAACACGTAGCCGCTGCCAAGTAGTACTCTGAAGCGCCTTTCCTTCAACACTGTACGACTCTGACTAGGAATGTCCGCGGGTGTGACCGACTATGGACATTCCATCCTGTGTAGCTATATCCGATTGGAAATGGCAATCATAACAATCCTCATGTGCTGTAGGCTCGAATTCACTCCCGACAGTAGATACACCTGTTACTGCAGCAATGCGATGCTCAACGAGACGTGTGCGGTAAAAGACCCGCGTGCTACAAGTTACGCAATTCCGTGAAATGACTGGCTCGTGATATGACTGTACGCCGGCAACCCAGGAGATACAAACGCAGATGCACAAAGGTCCACCCAGCAAGAAAGGCATTTGCCATGTCAGCGCTACTCCTCACCTAAACTTCTTTCATCGACGCCTCACCGCCTCATATGCTTCTTTGTGTTGTTGACGACTCCAAGTTGGACGCTTTAGCAGGTACGTTGGCGGTCTTTGCTCTTATGCTCGCCCTTACCGTCTCATTCCATTGGCTCCTGATACCCGTCTACACTTGCCGGCAAATCATTACGCCTTTTGCTTGGCTCAACATGGGAGCCCTGGAGACTTTTGCTGCGAGTTGGCTCTGCTCGATTGCATCGGGGGGCCCCTTTCAAGCCACATTTGCGCAAAGCAGACGAAGTGAAGTGGCCCTTGGTTAGCATGCTCTTTGACCAAGCCACCGTGTCGCCAACGCCCTGAAATCATGTTGGTCGTCTCTCTAGCCATGGCTGGCTGATGATGGTCGTCAAATGTGAAACACGGTTCTTCAATCAGCGAATGCCACTAAGCTGCGTTATTGGGCTATTCGAGAGCAATCTTTCCACGTCACAGATATACAATGGCAAAAGAGCTGTTTTGCAAACCGCTAGCCACGTATTCGTTGGATCAGCCGGGCGATGGCTGATTCCATCAACACGTGAGGCATGGGGGGGGGCGCGAAGTATGAATATTCGCGTATTTCCACTGACGCATTTCCAGCTGAGAAAGCGTAAAGACCGATACCAAGCTCGCCCATGATGCTTAGCTCCTCTACCATACACAGTTTGCTACTCCTGATTCTGGTTTCATGCAGCACATGCACGCGGATCCAGAAGAATAAGTCTCAGGCAATCCGACAGTCCGGGGTGGGCATAGTTACCGGAGCGACGTCGCGAGATAGCAACGGTACGCCATGTGCACCTCCCAACAAAGACACTCGCTGACATGGTCTAGGTAATGTCCATGTCCGGCGTGAAGTCAGAGACTTGGTGAATAATTACCCCGATCAATGGAGCCTGTACATTTTGGCATTAGACGGCCTCCACCACGCCGCCCAAAGCGATCCGTACTCGTTTTATGGCCTTGCATGTGAGCTGATGACTTGGGATAAGAGAGCCTTTGATTTTCATGCTAACAAAACATGGTAGCCATTCATGGGAGACCGTACCAGACATGGGGAGATGCGCCAGGTCTTCCTTACAAGATTGACAAGGCGGGCTATTGCCCACATGACAACGAGCTGTTTCTAGGGTGGCATCGACCGTATTTAGCATTATTTGAAGTGAGTGTTTGATGCTATGCCGACTGAGCAAAGAGTGTGTGTGATACTGAGCGAAAGCAGCAAGTGGTTTCTGGTTATGTCCATGATATAGCCTCAAAAGCACCAGCGGATCAGCTCCAACGTTACCTGGCAGCCGCAAACGAGTTCCGCATACCCTACTGGGACTGGGCGCAAGGGATGGAAGCAGGCGCGGTACCAGACGTTCTCATCTCGCCGTACATCATGGTCAGGGATACTTCGGATATGCCAGTCGTACTCAATAATCCTCTGCATTCGTATCACTTCAGCGAGATGCCAGAGGGGTTCCATGATAAGGTGAGTAGGTAGCTCCTCATCAGACCAGAAACTCATAGTGTTTTAGTGGCGGTATATAAATACGACGGTGCGATGGCCGGAATCGGATGATCCATGGGCGCCATCGCAGACATTTCTATTCCCCGAAGCTTTCAGGAACCAGTCCAACAACCTGATAGCGCAGACGGGCGTGGCTTTCCGATCGAGCAGTTTCTCGCGCTTCTCGTCGGCATTGGAGGATGTACATGGATGGGTGCACGGCATCATTGGCGGGGGCTATCTGAGAGACTCGCCGTACTGGGGTCACATGTGGCCACTGGAGTACTCTGCGTATGAGCCACTGTTCATGCTGCATCATGCGTAGGCGGGCGTCCAGCAGCAAGATGGGCAGCAAGAGGGCTAACTGTGGGGTGTAGGAATGTCGACCGACTGTTCGCCCTGTACCAGGCGGCGCATCCGGATCGCTGGATGGAAACGTCTAGTATTGGCAACCAGGGAAACGTGTTTCTTGAAGACGACCAAGAGATCAGCGCAGACACGGAACTGCTGCCATTTCGCCAACGACCGGGCAAGTTCTGGACGACGAATGAGTGTCGCGACACGGCGGTTCTCGGGTACGCGTACCCGGAGACACAACGTTGGAAGTTTGGGTCGGACGCGGCGTACCAATCATCTGTTGGGTCCGTCATTGCAAAGCTGTACAGTGGGCGGCTGCGCTCTCAAGTTGCGGCAGCACAGGTTTCAGCATTTGGCCACAGTTTATCCGATAACAGCAATGTGTTTACCGAGTGGACCGTCGAGACGCGCGCCGCCACATGCAAGTTGCCGTCGACATTCAGAGTGGATTTCTCCCTCATGGGCATGTTCCAATCCGACGACATTGTGGATGCGGGGAGTTGGATGGTGCTTGCACCAGAGCACGCGGGTACTCGACACGGCACGAACGCTACATGCGGGCTGGAGAAAGTCGTCCATGGCACGACAAGCATCACGTCGCATCTCATTGACCGCATCAACAAGGGCAGGCTGGCTAGCTTGAAGGCCGAAGATGTGGCGCCGTACCTGCAAGACGCTTTGACGTGGAATGTTTTTGATGTGAGCTGGCAGCCTATGCCGTACTCATCTAGTTTTGGTACTAACGGTATGGACAGGGCGATGGCCATCGTATCGCGCAGGCTGGTGGCGATGCACTCACAGTCACGGTCGTCAGCACGGAAGCACGTGTGCCAGAGAATGCAGATGAGGCGATTGAGTTCAGTGCCCAGGCCACGGCGTATCCTGAGATTACAATGAACAAGTGACGTTGGCATACTATACTGGCCGAGCATTTTTCAAACAGGTAGAACTATGCGCACAATTCTGGCGGCATACAGTCTTGTATTTTGGACCTGGGGTTGAAATATTGCTACTCTTGGAACGAGATGATAGCAGAAACCAACGATGAGCGAGGAAATGGACACGGTAAAGACCAGAGAGGCCGCGCGCGGGAATCGAGTTTGGGGTTGCTGCGCGTGTCAACGTGTGTAAGCTACCCAATGGCCATGGAGATGTTGTGACGATGACATGCTGAGTGGGTGCTGGCAAATTACAGTTGTACAGTTTGATTCGAGGCGTGCCGAGAGACGACATATTTTTTTGTGCAGTTGCAGCATTTTGGGAGACGCTTTAGCAATTGGCTGGACAGGGCGAACAGCAGCAGCGCCAAGCATGCGCGGGAGTAATTAACACTTTTGGTGGCCGTGGGCTGTGTGTGTGCGTGTGCGTGAGCGTGAGCGTGTGCGTGAGCGTGTGTGCGTGGGTGCGTGTGGTGGTGGTGGTGGTTGATGGCAGGAGAAGCTTGGTACTATCGAAGGCGATCCTCTGTCCGAGAAGTCAGCTTCCGGTGGGCAGGGCCAAGGAGGCAATCTTTTCCAACTCACGCATCTTGTTCAGTTCGTCGAGGATCAGCTGCAGCTCGTCCTCGTCCATCTTGAGCGAGGGGATGAGCGTTGTGGCTTCCTCGGCGGTGTCGGGGGTGAGGGTTCCTGGCGGGGGACAGTCAGCAGGGGGAAGAAAGAGGCAAGCAAGGCGTGTCTACCCAGCAGGGCCTTTTCGACGACGGAGATTTCGGGGTGGGCGTCGAAGAGGGCGGCAATCGAGTGCAGGCTGTCCTCCTCCTTGTAGCGGGCAAAGTTGTCGAGGTAGTCGAGGAACTGCGTGATGGTGATGCTGTCGTTGTAGATGCGATCGCGCAGCGGGTTGTTCTCGGGGTCCTTTTTCTTGCGGGCCTCGTGGACGGCCGTGACGACGGCGCGGGCCTCGGAGACGGACAGGGCGTGGACATCCTCAAAGTCGCCTAGCTTGATGTCGGAGCCCATTTCCTCGTCCTGCTGGACGGGGGGCTTGGGGCGCGAGACAAGCCTGGGAGCCTTGAAGATGGGCGGCTCGGGTCGCTGGGACGCCGTGTTGTCGGCGTCTCGCTCCATGGCGGTGGAGGAGGAGGAGGTGGTGGTGGTGGTGGAGGTGGAGGTGGAGGAGAAGAAGAAGATGGGTAGTGGGTGGTAGGCGTAGCGGTAGGCGTGGGGCTGGAGTGAATGGGGCGGTGAGACGTTTGCGGCAAGTGGCAAGTGCTAGCAGGTGGCAGGTGGCAGGGCGCGGCAGGACGCGGCAGGAAGTTGCGGCCAGGACGGGGCAGGTGCAGCGAGAATGGGGAAGCGGCAGTGGAGAAGGGAGAGAGCAGGTGCAGGTGCAGGTGCAGGTGCGAGAGAGGGAGAAAGAGAGGAGCGATGCGCCCAAGCAGGAAGTCGCGCCCTGCGGCGGCGGGGCCAAGTGCCAAGACGTGCCGCCTGTGTGTGCGTGTGCGTGTGCGTGTGCCTATGTATACTTATGCAAATATGGATATATGCATGTACTATTATTATGTACATGTATGTACACCAAGCTGGCAGCAGTAGTACTAGCGAACAAAGAGACATGGTTACATGTAAGTACTTGTAGACACTTGTGCAGGGCGGGCCTGAGGCTGACGGGCCTTCCCCGCCATGCGCGCGCTCACGCAGACGCAGAGGCTGGCTTGGACGTGCAGGTGCTGCAGCGTGGCCCAGGAATAGCCTGCCTGCCCCGGACAATGACGACGGCGATGGCGATGGCGATGACGGGCGTGCGAGCTGCTTTGTGTGCTGACCATGACGACGGTGCTGACTGCGTGTATACCCGGATGATGGATGGATGGACAGACAGATTGGAGCACATGCTGCATGTACGTGTACGTAGCCAAGTACACACCTAGGGCATTGTCCATGCAAGTGTAGTATACTGTTATGTCGGTATGAGCAGCGTGCATCGCAATCAGCCTGTGGCCCAATGCGGCCTAGCTCGTGCTCGACTCCACCGGCGCAGCCATGGCCTCGACCACCGCGATGTGACATTTTTTCGCTATACGTTTGCATGCACACGATAGCTACCGTATACTCCAAGTATCTCTCTCTCTTTCTCTCTCCCTCTCTCTGCCGCCCGGGTGCGCCTTTGTGTCGTTGCCTCGAGCGCCGGCACTCGCCTCAGCGCATGGCGGTGGTGGCGTTTCACCCATTGCTCAGGGTCCTCGGTGCGGGTGGCAGTGCCAGTGCCCTACAGTGCAAGCAGACACACACATAGTATACTTGTAGACGCCTATCCACGCGCCTATCCACCCTTCTATCCACTCACCACCCCACTACCAACTCACCAGCTCACCAGCTCACCCGCTCACCCGCTCACCCGCCCATCCACCCTCGCCTTTCCATCTGCAAGTCCATTTCCATACTCGCACACTCGACTCGCACATGGTGACATAGCCCCTCCCACTACCCACCACCACTACTGCCCCTTCCCACACACACACACACACACACACCCCGGCTAACCTAATTCACCGCACTTGCCCCCCCTCCCCCCCTCGCCTCGCCTCGCCTCGCCTCGCCTCGCCTCCCCATCTATCCCTCTATCCCTCTATCCCTCTATCCCTCTATCCCTCTATCCATCCATCCACCCATCCACCCACCCATCCATCCCACTGCACTGCACTGCACTGCACTGCCGCCGCATGTCGCCAACCTCGCCCTACCCTTTCCTTCTGCATTGTTGTACATAATCCCCGCGCCATCACCACCGCCATCGCCGTCGCCGTCGCCTTCTTCGCCGCCGCCGCCGCCGCCCCCCCTCGCTCCCTCGCCCCCCTCTCCCCCACCCGCCCGCGGCTGAAGCGCTGCCTGTGTGTGTGTGTGTGCGCGCGCGTGTGTGCGTGTGGTGTGTGTGCGCCTGTGCCTGTGCCTGTGCCTGTGCCTGCGCCTGCGCCTCCCCGGAAAGAGCGCGCCCGCCCGCCTGCTTGCTTGCTTGCTTGCTTGCTTGCTTGCTTGCCTGCCTGCCTGCCTGCCCGCCTGCTTGCCTGCCTTTCTGCCTGCCTGCTTGCCTACTCGCTCGCTCGCCCGCCCGCCCGCCCGCCGCTCGCCAACGCACCGCCGCACCGCCGCACCGCCGCCCTGCTGCCCGTTAGCCACCTGCCCGGCCGCAACCTCTGCCTCACAACGCCCCCTACGCCCGCCCGCCCACCCGCTCGCTCGCCGCCCGCCTCCCCACCAGCACCAGAGCACAACCTCCCCGTCTGCCATTGCGCGACACGTGCCATCGCATCCTCGCCCCCTTTCCGTCACCGCCTCGCCCTCGCCCACCACCCCCCCCCCCGCCGCCCAAGCCCCCTTCGACTCTCTGGCTGCTGCCACCATCCCGTCGCCCACCCTCCACTGCACACCCACCATCCTCAAAACTGGCGTAACCGGACATGGGAACACCAGCGGAGGGACCGCCTCCGATGGACTACCACGGCTCACAGCACCACTACACCACCACCGCCGCCGCAGCCGCCAACTCCAACTCCAACTCCAACGCCAACGCCAACACCAATAACACCACCACCGCCGCCGCCGCCGCCGCCAACCACACCAATGACCCCCATAGCAATGGCCTCATCCGCCGCGCCACCGACGACGCAACCTCGTCGTCGTCGCTCGCCCCCCACGACCGCCTGGCCTTTCCCTCGCGCTCCGCCACCGACCCCGGAGAGCACAACCAGCCCGCCGCCAAACCAAAGCGCACCGGCAAAATCTGCGGAAAGTGCGGAGAAGGACTGACGGGCCAGTTTGTGCGCGCCTTGGGCGATACCTATCACCTGGAATGCTTCACCTGTCACGTAAGAGATGCTCTCCCACCCCCTCCCCGTTTTTGTTTGTTTCCGCCCGACAAGCCCCCCCGTTGCACTGCAGCCCCTCGCAGCAGCATTGACTGACCGTCCGTCTCATGTAGGACTGCAACAAGATTGTCGCATCAAAGTTTTTTCCCGTTCCCGAGAAGCCACCTGGTCAGTACCCGCTGTGCGAGACCGACTATTTCCGACGCCTCGACTTGCTCTGCTTCGAGTGTGGCCAGGCCCTGCGCGGCTCCTACATCACGGCCCTCGACCGCAAATACCACATTGAGCACTTTACCTGTTCCGTGTGCCCCACCGTCTTTGGCGCCTCGGACAGCTACTACGAGCACGAGGGCAGCGTCTACTGCCACTACCACTACTCGACAAAGTTTGCCCAGCGCTGCAACGGCTGCCAGACGTCGATTCTCAAGCAATTCGTCGAGATTTTCAGAAACGGCCAGAACCAGCATTGGCACCCGGAATGCTACATGATCCACAAATACTGGAATGTGCGCCTCCACTCGACGGGCCAGCCCGTCATCGAGCACCTGCACGACGCCGACAGCGATGCTACCGACGAGGTGCGCGAGACGGTGCGCCAGCAAGAGGAGGAGATTGAGGCCAAAGTCAACTGGATCTGGAAGACGCTGTCGGCCTTTGAGGAAAAGTCGGCCACGTGCATTTCCGACATGCTTCTGCACGTCAGCAACGGCGCCTACGTCGACGGCGTCATGGCCGCCAAAAAGTTCATTGTCCACGTCGAGCTGCTCTTTGCCGCCGCAGACGCCCTCGACGCCCAATTGGTCGTCAAGACGCCCAAGGGACTCACCTACTCGCGCGAATCAAAGCTGCTCTGTAAGAAGGTGGTTGCTTTTTTCGCCCTCTTGACCCAGTCCCAGGGTACCGGTGTGCGCCGCCTGGGCGTGACCCAGGAGCTGTTGTCCTTGGTTACCGGCCTCGCCCACTATCTGAAGCTCCTCATCCGCATTTGTCTGCAAGGCGCACTAAAATTAGAGCGCGAAACGCGAAGCTCCATTGGCCTGACCAACTTTCTGACCCAGGTCAACTCCCTGGATGCGCGCCTAGAGGACGAGGCCCAGAGAGATCAGGCGGCCGAGTCTGCTCGCCTGGTCCCAAGATGGGCCGACGCGTGTCCCATTTGCGACGCCCAGGTCGAGGAAAAGTGTTTACACCTAAACGACATGTCGTTCAACTACAGTTGCATGATTTGCCGCGCCTGCAATGCCGACCTCCGCCACGACACGCGCAACGCCTACTGGGTCCAGTCCAAGAGAAGCGTCTTGTGTCCCGCCTGCGCTGCCACCAGCGCTGATGCTGAAAAGGGTTTTGAGCAAGTCACCAAACTCCGCCAGTATGTTCATCTGCTAAACGTCGCACACGCCCGCCTCATGGCCACGCTGCGCTCCAGTGGCGCCTTGCCCCATACCTCAGGTAAGAGACGCCTCTCCATCGACAGTCCCACATCGTCACCACTCATCTTGACACCTCGACTCAGATTTCTGGAGACGCTTCCGAGATTACATTCGTCCCACTAATGACTTGTAGATGACCCTAACTTGGCAGGCTATGATTCCTCCCAAGGACATCGCCTGGGAGACGCCGACAAGGACGGCCAGCCCCCCCACCTGCGATCAGACACTCGCTCCAAATCCTATGGCGGCATGTCGACCACCGAAAGCCAAGTCAGCCAGAATGCCGCTTACGAACAGTCCATGTCCGATATCAAACGCCTCAGATCGACTCGACTCGACAAGCATCTCTCCAACACGATGAAACGTGCCCGCGCATCCCGTATCATCGACGGTCCTGAAGGCCTTGATTCGGCTGGAGGCGAGGGGCAGTTGCGGGGTGGCATGCAGATTGTCCAAGAACGTGAAGGAAACGAAACCGACGCAGTCACCCTCGCCGTCAACTCGCTCGCTCTCGACGATATTGCGCGCATGGCTGCCCTAGAACAGCAACGAGAGCAACGGCCCAATGCTTTCCGCGCCGGTGGCAGCGCTCTGCTCGGACGAGACGAACAAGCCAGGCTGCAGACTGGCCACCGCCGCGACTTGTCCGGTGCTCAGGATTTACAGCTAGTCAGCGAAGGTCGCCCACGCACCTACTTCTCAGAGCTTTCACCACTCGAGTACTTTAAGCTCAAGGGCCTTGCTGTTCTCCAGCTGGGACTTTTACTCGACGATAGCCAGTACAACCAGGGCGACTTGCTCGACCTGATTGAATCGAAAAAGAACAACTTCTGGGGCAAGATCGGATTCGGCAAGGCTTTCAAGGGCGATAAAGCCAAGCCAAAGAAGAACATGACCAGCGTTGAGAAGCCCGTTTCCGACAAGGCTACATTCAGGCAGTCTCTCGAATACCTGGTTGAAAAGTTTGGCGACGAGTGCACAGAGGGTGTTGGACCCGGCGCTCTCAAGGTTCCGGCTCTGCTCCAGGACTGCATCACGGCCATGCGAAACATGGACATGTCTATAGAGGGTGTATTCCGAAAGAACGGCAACCTCAAGGCTCTACGTGAGTTGGAGGAGGAGATTGACGCCAATGGCGTCCAAAAAGTCGACCTGAACAACAAGAATCCCGTCATCCTGGCCAATCTTCTGAAGCGCTTCCTCCGATTGATGCCTGAGCCGGTCCTGACGTTGAAGCTCTACAGACTTTTCATGGTCGCCAATGGTAAGGGAACCATCAGCCACGCCTCGTTGCATTTTGCTAATCCAAGTAGATATTCAGGATGAGGTCCAACGAAAAAAGGTACTACACTTGGTGCTATGCTTGCTACCCAAAGCCCATCGTGATACCATGGAGGTGCTCTTTTGCTTCCTGAATTGGGTGTCGTCATTCCACACGGTAGACGAGGAAACAGGCAACAAAATGGACACGTGGAACATTGCGACTGTCATGGCACCGAATATTTTGCGCGAGAGCAACGACAAAGAGGTCAAGAGCGTCGACCAAGGTGCGGTCAAGGTGGTGTTTGACCTGATTGAAAACAACGACGAATTCTCAGAGGCATGTAGTTGCAGCTGTTGCACACGCCAACCTGCGCTAACGTGATGCAGGTGCCCCCAGAAATCATGGAACTGCTTAGCGACGAAACATCCGACATGAGCGCCAAAGAAATCATGCGACAATGGGAGCAGCGTGGAAAGAATCCCATTTCGGCCTCTGCACAACAGCCCAGAGATCAGTCTGGCACCGCGTCTCGGAAGGACCAACGCAACGCACCCCAGATTACCACGGCGGATAACAATCCCTCTGTTCAAGCCAGCGAGACGGCAGTTCGTCCGATAGCAGGGGCAGGTAGCCATGCCAGGAGCCAACACAGTCCCGCCCCGCCGACGGATCGAGGCACGCCCAACCCTACCTACGGGCCCAATCCACAACCGCAGGCAGATGGCCACCGGACCGCTTCGCCTCATCGACATAGCTATCGCTCGCCGGGATACCAAAAACATACACAAGTGGGCACAGCAGGTGCCGGGTAAGGTTCAATGACTCTGTTTTAAGATTGCTACCGGAGTACGTGGGCGTTGGTTCTCTCCACCTTTTTACGGCTTGAGCGAAAAGCATCACACTAAGCGGCGATACTATTCTATACCCCCCTGGCCAGAGTCTACGTCATGACATCTAGACTGGCCAGTCCATCTTCACGCATCGGCTTGGAATAAGTTTGACGATTGTTTGATTGCATTTGGTTGCATTGTGTGCTATTTGAGGCACTTTGAAGGTGATTTGTAGCATTGGTATAGGCGTTTCTGGGTAACTACGCGTGCCATCTACGACCTTGGCACACTGTTTGAGGCGACGCACAACGTCTATACACGACGGTTAGTGGAGGCGGGAGGGCGAGGAGAGACGCTGCAGCATCCCACGGTCACAGACATAGGCCATTGTGTTACATGGCACTGCACAAGCTGAAGTTCAAAAGTGGGCAATGGGATTTGACAAGGCTTGAACATTGCCGTTGCGCACGTGTTTTTTTTTCATTCCAGGGGTAGATGCTCCTTTTCAAAGCCTACTTGGGAATGTCAACCACTCTTCTCGCGTCAATTGTGTTGACCTTGGTTTTTTTGTTTAACTTTATACATTGGTTTAATATGTACAGTTGTGGAAAAGAGAAAAATGTAGATGGGAAGAGATGCATTATTCAAGCCTAATTCCAAGACATTCATCTTGTGTAGCACGAGCTGCCCATGTCGTGACGATGATGATGATGATGATGATCATGTATGCAGCTCACTTCCTGACAGCAACGATGAACAGGCGCGGGTACACGAGCAAGACGTTTCCATCCGACATTTCCGGATATGCTTCCTTCAGCCGGCCTTGGTACTCTGCGAGGAAAGCCTTCTTCGCATCCTCATGCTCGATCCTGTTCAGATACGGGAGCAAGCCCGTCCCCTTGACCCACTCGACAATGGCGGCAGCATCCTTGAGTACATGGTGGAATTGCGTACGCCAGACATTGACACTGCTCGCATAAGGCACGAGGGCATTGTAAAACGCCGCGGGGGCCTCGACGGCATCGAGATCTGGACGCCCAGCATCGGCGACATGACCCACGCGCGTCGAAGCAAAGTACTTTGACCACGGCTGCGATGGCATCGTGGCCACCAGCCGCATCAGCGCGTGCGAGGGCTCGTCGTAATTATCAGGCATTTGTAGCGCCAGGACGCCTCCTGGCGACAGACCCTGCAGCAGGCGGACGAGCGTCGGCATGCGCTCTGTGCACCGCAGCCAGTGGAATACGGCGTTGCTAAAGAGCACATGTGCGTCTGCTTCGGCTTGGTAGCTGGTCAGGTCGCCCGGCACAAAGTCGACGTTTGGTGTCCCCTGGAAATCGGCACGCGCGCGCCGAAGCATGTCGGGCGAGCTGTCCATGCCTGTGATGCGTGCCGTGGGAAAGGCGTCGTGCAGCACTTTTGTGCTGTTGCCTGGGCCGCAGCCCAGATCGTACATGCGAGGCTGGGAGCAAGAGACGTGGGGAACAATCTGGCTGACGAGGTCGTAGACGGGACGCGTACGATCATTGTTGAACTTGAGGTATTGGGCTGCGGACCAGTCTTTCTTGCTCTCGTCGTTGCTGTTGCTGATGTGCTCTGCAGTGGCCATTTTGAAACGAGCTGTGGTGTAGAAGCTGCGTATTTGTTGCGTTTGCTGTGAAGGGCATCTTTGTGAATGGCCATCAGGCTGGATATGGCCAGTCTTAAATGCTTGAGATGGTGGTTGTGAAGACGATGGACATGGCGTGGAAATGCGTCGTCGGAAATGTATCCGTGCTGGCCCTGGGCATGGGACACGCAGAAATTGAGTCGCTTTCAGGGCGGAGCGGCACATTGTGTTGGTTGGAGTTTAGCACTCGACTCTGTCGAGGCAAGATATGTGTCGATGGCGCAGAGTCGGTTGCTGTGACGGAAACGAGACACGGAAAAGTGACCTGGCCTTCCGAGGGCGCTAGCGACGGAACAGGCAAAGCGCTGTGGGGGCTAGCGCGGGCGGCCTCGACTACCCCAGTGCTCGCTGCCTTGGATCTTTTCACCTCTTCACCTCTTCGCCTGGTCAATCTCCATCTGGTCCCATGTGCCGACAAACAGAGCCATGTCGCTCGGCGGCCCTGACTCCACTCCGCTCCGCCTACAATCTCACCTCCCCCCGGACCCGTTCCCACCTCCACGTGCCCTAAACTTTCAGCTTTCGCGCCGCATTTCGGGACCCCAAAAGCTTGATTTCCTTTGGGGCAGGCAAAGCGAGCCAAGGCCCGACTGCATATGAGAGGTGCACGCCTATGCCGCCGGCCCTGTCGACACCTCTTGCTGATGTCAGATGTCGACCCATGGCAAGGCAAAGACAGCCCAACTGACCCGGCATCAGCTCCTCAGACCCCATACTGCCCCCGTTCATTATCCCACGGCAGCGCAACATGTATGTACCATGCACGGTTCCAAAAGCGGCGGAAGAAGAGCGCCGCCCTTTCGCGAATCGATCTGGTATCGTAGGTGCATACGTGCAATCGCCGTTGCCGATCCTAGTTTCCGCAAACGATTGACTTTTGCACGGATTTGGCGCAAGGACACCCCTTGCATTTGACCGAGCGAGGGGTCGGACCGCATCCGCAGGGAGTGCAGTGGATGGTTTTTACGCTCGCAGGTTGCGTGTCACAGACAATACCTGAACAAGGCAATGCCCATGGAAGACTCGGAATGACCATGTAGTAATGGGGCGTAGAAACCGGATGCGCTGCCTACGCCATGGGATTCCAGCCCCAAGAGCTCTGTGGCGAGGCTGCGTGTCTTGCCGGGTATCTGTGCGTATAAAGTTGCGTAGAAAGCCCACGGCATGTCCCTCACTCGTCCGACTGGTTGCTTGCAAAAGCTTTCCCACATTTCCAGGGTACTATAATTTCGTGGCTCTGGAGCACTTTATCCGTCTTTCTTCCATCTTCTGCTTATGTATCATGTCTCCCATAATGCAATTTTTTGCTTTTCAACAGTTAAATTCCTTGGTCCTGCTTCCAATCTTGCTGCTCGCCTGCTGCATAGTATGGATCGTCTATGCTAGATACTTACATCCGTTGGCGAAGTACCCTGGGCCATTCTTCGCCTCTATAACGCGTCTTTGGCTCATCGTCGACGTTGCCAGGGGGGGCTGCGAAAAGACGCAACGACAGCTGCACGAGAAATACGGTGGGCTACACTGGTCGAGCAATAGACGTATCATCCTTGTTGATAATCGCTAGGTCCCATTGTTCGAATCGCCCCGAATGAAGTTGCCATAGCCGATCCCGAAGCTATCAGAACAATATACTCGCCTCATTCGGGCTTCATCAAGGTCGGCCTTGACTGATATACTGCCATGAAGGGATAGTGCTAAGATCCGTAGACTGACTTCTATCTTCCATTTCGAGCAACATGGGGAAGATACCCGGATGCTTTCACCAATCTTGATGAGAGACAGCATGCCGAGAGACGTAGGATTGTTAACTATCTCTATTCCATGTCAAATATTGTCCAACTAGAGGAGGAAGTTGATAAATGTATTCAACTACTCGTAACAAAGTTTACAGACTGCGCGATCAAAGGCAATGTCATTGACATGTCGGAATGGGTACAGTGGTAAGATACACAGTCATCCTCCTACATAGGACTTTGAGGCTTATTGAAACAGGTATGCGTTCGATGTCATTGGTCAACTGTTCTTCAGCCGCATGTTTGGTTTCCTAAAAGGGGCCTGTGACTACAGAAGCTACATCAATGCCCTAGATCTTCTTATTCCTTTCATTGCCGTCGCTTGCGCTTCTCCCACATACCTACGACCTCTCGTCCTCATCAGTGGCGCTGCAATACCACGAGTATTCAAGGCTCTCAAGGCTCTCAAGCACATTGAAGACGCATCCGAAAAATGCGTCATGGACCGCCAGCATCTCATCAACAGCGGCAAAGCTGAAGAATGCGAAGACATGCTTCAGAGTTTCTTCGATGTCATGGAGAAAAGGGGTCAAAGCAATGACTTTGGGATCACTGAGGTCAAAATGGAGGCGTACGGTGCCTTGTGAGTCTGTTCCCATGACACTGGTAGAATAACAAAGTTCATACAAAATAGCATTGCGGGTTCCGACACGACTGCAGCAGCAATCACAGCCATCATATACCATCTCATGCGCACTCCAGCATCTTATACAAAGCTCACTGCTGAGATTGATGAAGCGGATCTAGCAGGTCACCTCAGCCCTGATATCCAATATCACGAAGCGGTGGGGCTACCATATCTCATGGCTTGCTGCAAGGAAGGAATGCGGCTCCACCCAAGTGTAGGTATGACGTTGCCGCGTCTTGTCCCTCGAGGCGGCTGTGTCATAGCTGGTCAATGGTTTCCTGGAGGCACGCGTGTTGGTGTGAATGCCGCCGTTATCCAGCGGGATCGTAACATCTTTGGAGACGACGCAAACGAATTTGTTCCTGAAAGGTGGTTTCGTCCCGGTGCCGCGAGAATGGAGCGGTATATGTTTCAGGTAGGACTTTGTCACTATGTTCACACTATCTCTCTAATGTACTGACACAAATGTCAGTTTGGTGGCGGTGCAAGAACATGTATTGGGAAGAATGTAAGTTTCACTTCTATGATTGATATGAAAATAATTGAGTCAGTTGACAGATCTCTTTGGGTGAAATGTACAAGGTTATACCGCAGCTCCTTCGGGCGTTTGACATGAGGCTGGAGGAACCGGATAGCGAGTGGGAAACGTGTAATTATTGGTTCAATAAGCCGAAGAAGGTGTATACCGTGGTGAGATGTAGGTAGAATAACTCCCTAAGAACTTACCAAGAAGTCCTGTATGTTTCTTGGTATAGATATCTTCTGGACGATTAGACAGTGCTGCTTGATACGAATCAAATTCATGGCTTATTGGCCCTTGTCGAAACACAGAGAGTTACATCTTGCAAGGGAGTCAATGTGCCTTTATCAATCACAATGGGATTCACAATCTTTCTATACATCTTAAAAGTATCTAGGAAGAGTTATGCTACTTTCACTTCTTCTTGTGACACGTGCATCATCACTAAAAATCTACGGAAATGTCAAAGGAAGTTCGGAAATGATAATAGTCTCGAATATATGTTTCCCTAATCAGCATTCAATTTGTAGAAGTAAGATCCATTTACTAGCTTATTCTTAGCCAAGATAATGAGTTTCAACGCGCAAAACAGACAGAATGAAGTGGCGAATGTTTGTCTAAACCGCTTATACTTCTCCCAGCCATTGAAATAAATAGCGAGTCTACTCAATTGAACGACGTGAAGAATGTGCCGCCATAAAGACACTGAAAAGAGACTCGGTCCTGTCATGATTGGGACTGAATTAAGCATTGCAATGAAGCCTATCATTGCCTCCACCGTGTCGTCTTGACTGATTGTTGTGAGTGCTAACGTGAAAATTAGAAACTAGTTCACGAAGAACGAATTCACGCTGCTTAGTATTTACACGATGCCCATGACTCAAGAGCTCTCCATCTATTGATATTATTAAGATATGGCCTCAAGATAACCGGGAATTTGCAACAGAGCAGATGGTCACATGATCTTCCGAGCAGAAGGCTACTGGAGCTAAGCACAAGTCATCAGAACAGTATCTCGATCCGAATAGTTTGTGCCATTGGAGGGTTGAACAAGTTTCGGTAACACTGGTGTCAGAAAGGCATATTGACATCCATGGCATGTTGAGGAGTAGTTTTTGAGTTGCTCTAGGGTGGCTCATGAGTAGGGTCAGCTCTATTGCTTTTGGCATTCGACTACTGCATCTAGTTAAGGTGGAATGGATTGATTGGGAGTAATTATCATGTGAAGCGGACCATTGTGCAGCGCCATCGACTATGTCCACTTGAAATCCGCCCCAAACAAGGTGGTTATCATTTCTATAATTTTTGAAAATATCAATTCTAGTCTACAGCTGACAGAGATGCCGCATCGTCTCAACCGCGTTCTTGTCTCTTTCTTCACCTTGGCCTAGCCAGACGACTACAGCACAGGCTCGGCCGTAGATTGCCTTCATACATGTGACATGTTCATTGCGATTTCTCACGTTGTCTTGGTCAATGCATAGCGAGTCGACTCAGTAACACATGCCCGAACGTGTCTCTGGTAAGTCTCGCAGGACTTTCAGAGTTGATCCGAGATGGCTTGGCGCATTCTTGCGGATTCCCTTTACTTGAATAGTTTCTCCTTCACATCTATGCCCCCAAGTGTACAGCAGATATATATTTTTTCGAGCTGCAAGGAGATCTAAACTGGCGTGTACACTGTTGCAAACGCTGAACTCTAGAAATCAGCGAGGAAACAAATATACTGGTGCCTCAAAGTAGTCGTGACTCATCCCCAGCGGCATAATGCAATAATAAAAAAAGATGAAAACAGATGAGTAGCTCTCAAAGTTTCGGGGGACAAACTGCGATACGTCAGCCAGGCTGACCTACTTTTTCGCCTAGCTCAATTCACATAAGTACACCACAATCCATATTATTTACAGAAGACCCTCGTCTATATCATAGTGGAACAAACCACCTTGCCTGACTCACCCTGGTATCAAAATCCAATTCGTCCTCTCCACTCTCCATGTCACAATCCTTGCTCATCTCCCTCCTTCTTAGCCTTAGCTCCTTGTGCAACTTCTTTGAAGTATCCTTTCCATCTTCGGCCAGTTTGACGAAAAACTCCCTATTCTTACAGAGCATATGCTTTTCGCCCGCCTCTTTGCTTGCCATGTCGGCACTTGGTGCATCGTGCAATGATGGTATCTCCCCTTAACAGTTGTATCAAACCGTACACGTTTCCTTTGACTCTGGCATCCTGCAGAGCTACGATGCTGCGTCCCATGCAAATGAGTCTTTTGTATCAATTTCCTCTTCATGCCCGACTTCCACATGTCTTTATTCTTCAGAGCAACGGTTATTTCTTGTTCGAAACTGGCCAGCAGATCAAGCAAGAAGTCGTACGTCTCTGCGATTACGGGCCAATAGATTTTTGCTGCCTCAGTACGACCCACGTGTGAAGATGTTGACGCTTGATTACACACTCTGACTTTTCTCTGCATGGACGTCTGCACGTCGCTCAATTCGTGGAGCCATGGCTGCGAGGATGATGCGGTGGCAATGGTGAGAGTGGAAAGAGATTTGTGAATTTGGGCATGTTGCTCTTGAATTGCTCGCAGAGCGGTGATGGAGCGGAGGCCGGTGAGGGTTTGGAAGGCTTGAATGGCGGATTTTTGCAAACGCAGAGAATGCGAGAGGGATTGCGCGAGGGAGAGTAGGGATGTGGCGCGCGAGAGAGTGAGTTCAAGGCCGCAAATGAGGGAGGTGGGTTGTCGCTTGGGGAACCAAGAGAGTAGTAGGATGTGGATGTTTGACATGATGCCTGGAGGGCGAAGGCGGGTTATGTTGGGCGATACAGAGGTATTTGGTTGCGTGGGTGGGCGGACCGTGGTTGAAGGAAAAGCTGGTAGAAGGCGAGACAATGCGCTTCTCAGGTGCACTGATTCCAACAAGGGCATTTGTTATTTGTGTGTGCGTGTGTGAAGTGTGAAGGATGGGGGTGCGTTGACAGTGTCTTTGTGGTGACAGAAGTCGCCGGGGGGGTTTTGTATGCGCGATGATGCAGAAATGTATTTAGGTCCAGGTTGTGAAAATGTGGGTAGAATTCGACGGAACCACGGGGTCGTTTTTGTGGTTGGATTGTTGAGTGTAAGGCATATGTAGCTGTAAATGCTAACAAAACAATCATGATTCGCCAACCGCAAGGCCGGGTTACAGGGAGAAGCTTGAAGAAAGCTCTCACATTCTCGCTCGGTCCGCGTTGTCGGTATTAACTAGTACATAGCGGTACCGCGCATGTCCCTCCTCCATATCGACGATACACTTGTTCGCATCCTTCATGTTGCGCTTTTGCACCCAGGGTTTGATACCTTTCTCAGCAGCAAAGTTGAGCATTTCTTCAATGTCGCCAGGGCTACCAACCGAGCTTCCCCCAATCTTGCATCCTTTTCCAATCAAGCCGAATGCGGAAATTTGCGGCAGTTTGTCCTCTGGGGCACCGACTTGGATGAAAGAGCCGCCTGTGCGGAGCAGTCGCAGGTAGGATTCGAGAGGCATGTCTGGTGACGAGACGGTGCTGATGATGAGGTCGAGTGAGCGACTGTGTTTGCGCGCCCATTTGTCGTCTTCTGCCGTTGCAATGTAGTCAGTGGCGCCCATGGCCTTTGCATCCTGGACCTTGTTTCTCTTCCGGCTGATGGCGACGACCTTGTCGCAGCCTAGCGCCTTTGCGAACAAGATGCCGAAATGGCCCAGACCGCCGACGCCGACTATACCGACTTTCTTGCCCGGGCCTGCGCCATTTGTCTTGAGCGGCGAGTAGACGGTGATGCCTCCGCACATCATGGGGGCTGCGTCTTCGCTCTTGAGCGCTGCGGGAATCTTGATGGCAAAGTGCGCGGGTACGCGAACATGGTCTGCATAGCCACCCATGCTCCAGCTTCCGTCGGGGTATTTTGAATTGTACGTGTTGACGGTGCGGGTGCAGTACTGTTCGAGACCAGCGCGGCATTCTTCACAGTCGTCTTTGAGACAGCTAAAAGCCTGGGCGCCGACGCCGACCCTGTCGCCCAGTGCGAGTTTGGTGACCTTGTCTCCAACACGAACGACGTGCCCAACAATTTCATGCCCTACGCACGTGGGATAGTGTGTGGAGCCCCAGCCGGAGCGCAGCGTGTGAATGTCGCTGCCGCAGATGCCGCAATGGGAGATTTTGATGTCGACGTCAATGTCGGTGAAGGGCTTGGGCTTGAACGAGGACCACTTCATGTTGCCCTGGGCGGCGGTTTTGTCGAGGCCTAGCCAGCCATTGAACTCTGCGGGAGATGTCATGGCGGGGTGTGTTGCAGGGGTGCAATGTGCGCGGTACTCTGGCGATACGTGGGTGATAATGGACTGGATGGGTAGTACGGAGGTGCCTCACAAAAGTTTTGTCCTGCCAAGAATAATTTAGCCGAAATCTGGCCGCTCTCCTACACAACGCCTATCTCTCCCCTCTATATACTCATTACCACCTTGTAGCTCAATTATCTTTGGAATATGTATAAGAATACGCTCAATCCAAG